TAACATCCTCACCTCTCTGTGCTCCCCACGGCACCCCTTCACTGGCTTTTCCCAGTGCCCAGCTGAAGCCGCCCTTCCCATAGGTTCCTGGTACCACTCAAAGCAAAAGGGAGAACAACTCCTGTGTCCCTACTGCAGCTGCATTTCACACGTTTGAAGACTGTCTCTACCCTGAACCTTCCCCAGCCTGAAGAGCTGCAGGTCCTGCAGACCCAGCCTGTGTGGTCTGGTCACTCCAGGCGCGTCCGTCCATAGAGCTCTACCGTAACGCCTCCGCCTCGTGCTCAGTCACCACTCCGGGGCATTGCACAGGTGCCCACGGGGACGCAGAGCACTGAGGAGAACCGAAGGACCAACTCCCATGTCCTAGAGGTGACACCCCTGGTTACCTGCACAGCCACGCGGCTCAGGCCTTGCACAGCAGCAGGACGCTGCTAACCGGTGCCTGGCAGAGGCAATTATGCATCGCTGCCCCTCCAGCCGTGCTGCGCGCTGGTTAAATCTCCGTCTGCCTGTAGTGAATCGAAATCTGGTTTTCCACAAGTATTTCTCCATGTCAAAGCAAGTTTGAGCTTTCACCTCATCCACTACCATGCTACTGAGCCTCCTCTGCCAGACGTGAGCTGCCGACGTCATGTCAATGCTCTGCTTCACCGCCAGGCCCCAGCACCCACCCTGCGACACCCCTACTTCCACGGGGTGGGCTTTCTGAAGGGTCTCAAAGTCCCATTCCCAAGTCACTTTGCACGACCCTGCAGTACCCGTGCCTGAACCGTGCTTTCTGGGTACGTCAGAGGAGTGTCACGTGGAGGGGCCGAAGCCCTGCTGGAGCCGCCATACAACCTTCCGCAGGACACAACGCTGCCACGGCAAAACACAGTGTTGAACCAATCACCTCTTGAACTCTCGGTGGCCACGTATCAGCCAACCATCCTCCTGCTCTTTCCAGCCGGGTACTATCGGCTTCTGTGAGGACCCGAAATGCTGATCTGGCCTCCGCGAAGGACGTGCAGAGCGTTTCCGAGGGCAGCGCATCCGTTGCGCCGCGTTACTGAGCCGCGGTCGCTGCCCGTGCGCAGGGAAGGTAAAGGGGATTGATGACCAAAACCAGAGACAACCCAACCGACAGCGCAGTGCCGAGATTAGAAGCCGCCACACACCAACTCACGGGCCCGTAACGAGCGCCAAGCACAGCTCTGGGGGGGCCAACCCAGACCTTGAAGCTGGTACAAAGGGGGAGGTGAGGAACAAGGGGATTTGGAAGCTCAAGGGACAGGCTGCGGGACAGATGTTGGAAGCATCTTCCCGGCTCCCGAAGACTTTGTGGCCAGAGTATCAGGTACTGGGGGCAGGGGGGGCAGCATGGCTCCACGAGCTGGAGCCCTCCCGGGACCGTGGCACGGTTGGAAGGCTCAGGGC